TYSRAMMAWYMAARSSRAWTGTGGCGTTCAAATTTTATGTCGACAAACGACTTTTTGGACCAGGCGGGAATCAGCGCTCATTTTTGAAATCAGGATTTTTAATCCCTCTCAAAAACCAGATGGCCATATCGATGCAATGATGTATCTTAAGAAAAGTAATGATTGGAGWAAAAGATATGCATKTTACTATTCTTACATTATTCCATTATATTTCTGACACTYACTCAAATATGCTTGGGACGATCGCCGAGAAATGCGGTAATTTCCCACTYTGAAACATCACTTGAAAAAGAGACGCTCTGTTTTCTTCGATTGAAATTATGGACGTATCTTTTCAAAACGAGGGTTTTTCAAGTAGACTAGCACCTAACTCAAGAGGAATTCAACACTGGCGCGGCTATTAAGCCATTATTTTAAAAGAAACAATTGATTGAGTATAGCTTTCTTATATCGTAATGACCGGATGCTTTGTCTTGTTGTCAGTTTAAAATGAAAAGAGAATTGTTTAGTTTTTGTGTATAGTTTTTCATCAAGCTTAAATTGCTTAATCATCCTATTATTTCAATCACATTCTGTTCTGTCGTCATACCTCTTAATATATTGCGCTAAAATTTTGTATTTATTTTGCKATGTGCCTTCTTTACCTAAAACATCTAATCGTGGGAGGGATAACAAACATGACAAGCTCTCACGATTATAAAGTCCTATTAGGAAAATTGCTTGATGCCTGTCTACCGAAATTCAGCTCCTAAATGCTCCATTCCCCATATTTCATTCAATTTCTTTATATTTAGTCCTTGACAATAGTGATTTTTTAGACATATATAGAAAGTAAAAAACCTGATCTTATTAGAAGTATAGACACTCAGACTACAGCGTAGGTCATTTACTCGGGCAGTTCTATATTTGCTTCTTTTCGTTCCAAACTGAATGCCAAAAGTACTCTTTAGATGTCGCCGGCGATAGCAGATCTTGAGAAAAATGTTTCATTTCTTAATCAAGCGAGACATTGTCAAGGACGCTTCTACATCATATCGCGTCGCTCGGGTCTGGAAATCAGAATAAACTCGGGGAGGTCGCAGTTTGCCTGAATTTACCGCTAAAAAACAAGGGGTTTTATTGATATCTGTCATTATTTATGCCGCAATTAACGCTCTTTTTTCCGCTAAATTCGTTATCCCATTATTTATACTTACCCATTCATTTCATCCGTTTCCATTTTCTTCGGTTTTAGTCTCAAAACCTGGCTTAGCATTTGGCGATGCTTTTACACGTAGCTCAAGTTATCCCTCGAAGTATGTCACATAACGGGTGAGATAACAATTCCTGGGGGCTAGTTAATAACCGAATGTATCAGTCAAATTAAGTGTCTACAAAACGTCATATCGGTGGAGGTCTAAGACGACTTTGATAGTGTTTACTTAACTTTCATACTAGCCTTGAACTCCTAGTGTTTCCGTATTTGTTAATGSTCGCCCCTGAATRAGACATGTGGGAATATATCAAAGAACGTAAAGCTACGTTGGCAAACGAGGAAATGTGGTCAACCGGAGGAATTATAGAAACTTAATCATGCAGTATTGCAATATAAAGGGATTTCACATAACRCATTTTTACATGGGAATGAGAAAAAATGTAATGCGAAAAAATGAGTATTTTGCAGCCTGCATATCGGTTGGAAAGCAAGTTCAAGTCCGTTTTTTTTTTTTTAGAACTATTCGTTAAGAATTGATTGAAATTTAGACTCGGTTCATTTAAATTTAAGTTAATATAATTGCTAAAGAAAAACTTTACTGAAATCGCTTAAGACTTGATAAAAGACTAATTAGCGTAAAACGACGTTTACATTAATTTTGCAAATTTTGCTACTTTGATATCTTGAAGTTTTTCAAGAGTATACTGATATCCTTTTAAACCGTTTACGTCACCTACTAGATTTGGTGATGYATTGTGGGACAGTTTCTGAACAAGGCAAAAGAAACCCGCCATATTGTATCCCAAACATATTCTACAACTGACTATTCTAGTACAGGCGAGAATAGCCTCGAATCTATGTGTAAATTGATTGTTTATTCTATTGTTTCCTATCCTAAGAACGAGGTTATTCCGGCCTGTTCTGGAATTTTAAGAATGTTTCTTTTTTAATCAGCATTATCACCTAAAAATGAGTTATGCAAAAAATTTCTCATTTCAATGTTAATCAATGAATTCAAAACAAAAACGAAAGGGCTTAATTGAAAGATAGGAAAAACTTGATTGTGCGTCACTTTTTCATTTACAAAAATCCCACAATCCCCTTTAGTCTAGTCTCCCGGCGCAGCCGTGTTGAGTTTCGTTCACGCGTCACGCAATCTCTTTACATGACACGAGACTGAAACTAAATATGGCTGCGAGAAGACTATTTCAGTTTCCGATTGACAACTTCCCGATGCATGGCGGTAATGGCCGCCATCTTGGGCATGGGTTCACGAGTAGATTTTTATTCGCGTGTGGTTAATCTCCTTTGCGGTTATTCACATAAAAATGAATAAAGTGTCTCTAAAAACCGCAGTTTTCATGATGCACCAGTCGCCATTTAGCGGTAAGCGAGGATAAGTGAAGTTTTGTGTGTAAGCAAGTGATTCGTTCGCACTCAGCAATTAACTCCACTTGCTCCCCTGCGGTCCACTCCAAGCCATAATAAAACCGATAAGCCATGAAATGAGAATGGAAATATTGTCAACAAGTCCAAAACATTTCACTTTATCCTTTGCTACGCCGAAAATATAAAAAGTAATGGAAAAATATAATGAAAATCAGCAGGGAACTCCGTCGCCGGTAGCATGTGCAATAATCGACAATTTAGACACAAAATTCGGAAATCAAGTAGAAAACGGTTTGGATACTTAGTTATTTAATAGAAAAAACCTCCATGAGGAAGCAAAATCTTAACAACAATATGAATTTGGCGTACCCCATGCACAGGGTTATCTAAAGAATTAAACTATACTGCCTTTGCTTCCCACAACTGGCTTTATATAGGATAATTTTTTTACAATTTGGATTTTCCAATTATATTTCCTAGCTGAGGAAGATTGTGC